TATTTACTAAGATTAAGTCTGATATTCGATCTATTCTAGTTGGTGTATTTTCAATTTGGTGAAGGTTATAATTTTCTAAGAGGTATAAATGTTTATTGTGATGTTCAGCTTTCGGTATACCCGGCATAACCCTTGCAAGGATCCCATGTACAAACTCTATGTATCCTATTACTTAAAATAAGTGAGAAATTCATGTAACAAAAAACTAGTTGACAAGCAGTCGTTGAACCATGAAAATTAGGTCAAGGGCAATTGACACATGACAGACAGGAACAAAGCAACATAAGGCACACGTATATAAATTAGCACCCGGGTTTTCAATTACGTTATATAGATACAATGGATAAGCGTGGATTCTTGAAAAAGAAACCATGAGCCGGGAGGGCGAATGGTTTGTTTTTCATGAATCTACGCTTATCCATTGTATCTATAACTTAAACTATTGTGTTAATTTCTTTTCAAAATTAAAGCCTTTTCTTAATTAGAAGGTATTGTAAGTGTGTTTAAATAACCATGTTATCGTGTCCAACGATGCATTGATAATTCTCAGATCACAATTAATTGGTTAGCAAATTACAAATATAACACTTCTACCTTTAAAGATCTTTATATTATCAGGCATCTGAATATTATCTGTTTTTACAAAATAAGACATATTCGAACTTATTTCTAATAAAATTGAGAATGGAAATGGGGAATGTGTCAAAGAGACAACAACCCGACCAAAGAGCATATATAAAGTATATATAATAAGTATGTTACCGAAATTTCTAGCACTCAAGGCACATCACGATTTTCTAGCATAGGAATTTGCGAACAAATATTTGTTAAATTATGTAGTAAAACAGATGAAATCATACTATATTTATACAACAAAAATTGACAAATACAATGTAATCATTTTTGTTTCAAACATGTGAAATAGCCAATAATAATCCAAAAAATAAACGGTAAAACACGCTATTACTACAAAAATATCCACTATAACATGCAAAATTAGAAAAAAAAAACAGAATTGGAACAACAGAAATAATACAGGGATTCGAACCTAAACCGACAAATCTCTATCTTTTAACTCGTTGATTTGAAGCGTGCTAACCTCGCGGCTACCAACTTATACTATACGACTGCCCATTGTGTATATATAAAGGTACAACCCCTGTGTGTCCGATGTTCATTTATATATATAAAATATACATCTAAGTTGTAACCCACTGGTAGCCGAGAGGTTTCGTCGATGTGTTGATGTCAGTCATTGTTGTAGGGTTAATAAATAAATCACTGTAAATAACAAACCGTAAACGGAGAAAACAGATATCCGTAAAATGAATGTAAAATGCAAATGTAAATTATTCTAACAATGAAGAATATATAATTTCGTCAAGTCAATCCCCTGGTTCATTTGACGATTAACACACCGGGATAAACCTATATATAATGGTTGTACTATATAGGGCAGTTGTTAACAACTAGATACTAGTGCAACAAAGAATTTGTTAATGTTAAAAAAAAAAAAAATGTCAGTCATTCATAACAGATTTCAAGGAAGGGTTCGATTCCCAGTGAAGGCATATACAAATTACAAAAATTAAAGGTAAGTTTTTAAATTAATTCCATTAGTGAACAGAAATCAGTAAATTAGCCAATTCAAACTTAATGAAATTAGACACACAAAGGAAACAATTGAATATCATTTGGTGAGTCCATTTCAGCGGCAGATTTAGGAAGCGTTGATTCAAGAAAAAGAATCCACGGTAAATGAATAGGCTGACGTCACCACAATGGTTTAATGAAATATAAAGCTTTATACGATAGTTTACGCTGGATTATCATCCCTGTCTAGCATTCTGTGACTCGTTGCAGGCGAGACAGTTCTATTTCAAGAGATTTCATCTACAAACAAAGATTCACTTAAAATTTCAATCTATATATAGCAGCCATGTGTTAAAATGCTTCCCCGAACTTGTGACAATGGTGTTACAGCTGTTAAAAACACAATTTTTCAAAATAATTGTGTATTAGACCTCTCAAGAACTTTGACCATGATAAATAATATCTTAAATATTTTCTTAGCATCTAAATGATCTTAAGTAAGTGAGAACAAAAAAGAAAAAAAATTAAAATATAATCTTGCTTCTGTGGAATTTTTAAAACAGTTCGTTCTTTTTTATTTCAATTGGAATAAAATATTTAGTCTACATTTCTGTGTTTTCCTCCATGTTAAGGCATCTGTAGTTTATTGTGCCTTGGACCAATATGTCAATCTATTGGTCCCTTCTGGGCTAAATGAATAAGGGCAGCCAATCATGTCTAAATTTTAGATGTTCACTTATTTCAAATTCTGCTCTTTTGTTCAAAGTGAACCTTAAATCTGCAGAATAGAATTCACCAACCAGCAACCCCTCAGAAGATTAAAAATTTTAAGGTATTTTTTTTAGTTTAAAATAGACCAAAAATCTAAAAATATGAGGCAATTTCTTGTTACATTGGAACCCATATCCATTTTTATTTAAGTGCCCCATAAAGGATTTCTGTATTTCAAAGCTCTCTCTTTCTCTCTCTTAAGTAAGATACTTGTACGTAGACTTGGCTTAACCACTGCTCCTCTGCAGGAGTTCAAGAAATCTTTGAAAGCCTGTCTACTTCTTTGATCTGAAATTATATAGGAGAGTCAAAAAAGTAATAGTAGTAATTCTAAATCTCCAACGCTTTTCACAAAATATCTTTGAGTAAAAATACTTGCAGGTCTTGAGCATTTTAGTGCAACTGCATTTATCTGTAAGACTATTTGTGAAAAGAGGGCAAGAACTGCTTAATATTTGAATCATGTTTTCAAATTGTCAATCAGTTATCCATAGGCCTAAAAGAGGGACGAAAGATACCAGAGGGACAGTCAAACTCATAGATCGAAATCAAACTGACAACGCCATGGCCAAAAATAAAAAGACAAACAGACAAATAATAGTACAGATGACACAACATAGAAAACCAAAGACTAAGCAACACGAACCCCACCAAAAACTGGGGGGTGATCTCAGGTGCTCCGGAAGGGTAAACAGATCCTGCTCCACATGTGGCACCCGTCGTGTTGCTCATGTTATTACAAAGCCAGTAAATGGTCTAATTCGGTAGGTCACATTCGTGAAAAGGGAACAGGATTGTAGTTACGACATAAGGAAATATCCGATATCATCTGTGAAACGGATATTCCATAACGGTCAACTAACTCGTGATGGCGTCCGTAAGATTTACGAAGTGATGATTTCAACTGCACCATTGGAACTCTTGGTTTAAAAATGAAAAGGTCACAATTGGGAAGCTGGAATCATCTCTTTTGTCGTTAAGTTTTGTTTTCAACCGACCCTCATAGTCAATTTCTAGATATAAGTCCTAATCAAATCAAATGGCAAAATCAAAAGCTCAAACACATCAAACGAATGGATAACAACTATCATATTCCTGACTTGGTACAGGCATTTTCTTATGTAGAAAATGGTGGATTAAACCTGAATGTATATGAAGAGACGATGCATAAGGATATGTGGTCTAGTCATGTGAGCCTGCTATGCATTCAATCATAAGAATGCCAGGTCTAGTCATACGAGCCCGATATGCATTCAATCACAAGGATATGTGGTTTCTAGAGTCATACGAGCCTGATATGCATTCAATCCCAAGGATATATGGTCTAAGAGTCATACGAGCCTGATATGCATTCAATCCCAAGAATATGTGGTCTAGAGTCATATGAGCGTGATATGCATTCAATCACAAGGATATGTGGTCTCGAGTCATATGAGCCTGATATGCATTCAATCACAAGGATATGTGGTCTCGAGTCATACGAGCCTGATATGCATTCAATCACAAGGATATGTGGTCTAAGAGTCATATGAGCCTGATATGCATTCAATCACAAGGATATGTGGTCTAGAGCCATATGAGCCTTATATGCATTTAATCACAAGTATATATGGTCTCGTCATATGAGCCTGATATGCATTCAATTACAAGGATATGTGGTCTAGAGTCATATGAGCCTGATATGCATTCAATCACAAGGATATGTGGTCTAGAGTCAAATGAGCCTGATATGCATTTAATCACAAGGATATATGGTCTAGAGTCATATGAGCCTGATATGCATTCAATCACAAGGATATATAGTCTCGAGTCATATGAGCCTGATATGCACTCAATCACAAGCATATATGGTCTAGAGTCATATGAGCCTGATATGCATTTAATCACAAGGATATGTGGTCTAGAGTCATATGAGCCTGATATGCATTAAATCACAAGGATATGTGGTCTAGAGTCAAATGAGCCTGATATGCATTTAATCACAAGGATTATGGTCTAGAGTCATATGAGCCTGCCTGATATGAATTCAATCACAAGGATATGTGGTCTAGAGTCATATGAGCCTGATATGCATTCAATCACAAGGATATGTGGTCTAGAGTCATATGAGCCTGATATGCATTCAATCACAAGGATATGTGGTCTAGAGTCAAATGAGCCTGATATGCATTTAATCACAAGGATATATGGTCTAGAGTCATATGAGCCTGATATGCATTCAATCACAAGGATATATGGTCTCGAGTCATATGAGCCTGATATGCACTCAATCACAAGCATATATGGTCTAGAGTCATATGAGCCTGATATGCATTTAATCACAAGGATTATGGTCTAGAGTCATATGAGCCTGCCTGATACGAATTCAATCACAAGGATATGTGGTCTACAGTCATATGAGCCTGATATGCATTCAATCACAAGGATATGTGGTCTAGAGTCATATGAGCCTGATATGCATTAATCACAAGGATATATGGTCTAGAGTCATATGAGCCTGTATGATATTAATTCAATCACAAGGATATGTGGTCTAGAGTCATATGAGCCTGCCTGATATGCATTCAATCACAAGGATATGTGGTCTAGAGTCATGAGCCTGATATGCATTCAACAAGTTATAACAAACTAAAGTGTATAGTATTTTCATATTTATTAATTTCATAGATGTTAACCTAACACATGATGAAATCTACCATTTACACAATGGAAAATCTTGCATACAAATTTCATGATTCTTGGGAGTTAAACTCACACTTGTTTTTTTACTATACATCATATACAAAAGTCATTGATAAATAATTAACAATAATTAATCATATAGTTATTGTATGAGGAACTGAATTTTTCTATTTCACACATTTAATAGGTTATCCTTTCAACCCTGCCAGAAATGGTATGCTGCCCTATTAACTTTAACAAATATATGTTGCTTTAAAAAATGTCTTTTTTCAACAAGCAACACCAAAAATATATATTGTATATATTCTATTTAAACTTTAGAAATTTGCAGACATTTCATTTTTAATGATAAATATTGCACAATAAAAGTTCAAGTTGTTTCAATTGAACATAAACAATAAAAATTAAACAACAGTTCATGTTTACCTCCTGAAAAGTGTACTTCACTGGCTATCATGTAGATATAAATAGTCTTTGTAACTACAATGTCAAATAAAATGCCATGACCAGCATGCCTTCATACTCATCCACAAAATCCACTTCATTTATCATACATTTGTGTATAAAAAAAAAATCATTCAAACTCAGTCTTTGGTCTTCATGAAGAATTTGTTTTGGCATGAAAAATAATTTAGTTATATTTCTAATGCAATTTTATCACTTATTCAATTATTCAAAAAAAAATTATCCTCACAAACATGGATTCTCATGTGAACAATGCAGGCAATCAGGAGAATATTTTGATATTTTTCTGTTATGTTTATTAAAATGGATGTGCAACTGATTATAACATTTGCACCTTTGCTTTTCCTTGGACCATGTTTTCAAAATGTCACCTGTGATACCACAAACATTTAACATAATAATCCTGATTTCATTAATACAAATCAAACTATTTCATTTGAAATTTGTACATAATTAAGTAAATAGACTATTTACACAACAATAACACTCCCTAAGTAAAGGTTTATGTATTTCATCCCATCATTTATGCAAGGGAATTTGTAAGCTATTATCATTATATCATGTGATTTAATAAACAAAGGATAGAAGTCCCCACCCCTAAAAATGATTTTTTGTTTATGAAAATGAACAATTAAAGTTTGAATAGAGTAAACAGTTTCATTTAATTTTAAAAAAAGATGTGTGACAAGAAACAAAGGCACTGTTTCAAAATTTTAATAATTATATTCATCTACATTGCTACGCAGGTTCCACTTTTCTCATTTTTAATCTCTTTAATTCAAGTATTTGATAAGATAAACCTTTTTTTAAATTTGAAGGGAATCTAAAAAGAAATGAAGATGTAATTCTGATGCCAATAAAGTGATAACAGACAGGCTGTAGACAAACAAGTATTACTATGTCAGCAACTGTATTGCCTGGGCTATGATAACTGACTGAATGTTTAATGAACTACTTTTAGTATATCAGAATAGCTTCTGAAATATGAAGTTAAGTGTTTAAACAGATTTTGTTTAAGAACAGTCAGTGCTGATTTTGCATCATATATTCAGCACAAATGTACTTTAAAAATTATAGAAAAGCCTCTGAACTAAGTATGAACTACCTCAAATTATTATTTTTATGTTAGACTACTTACTACAAACGAAAAAAAAAAAATCACATGTCTAAAAACAGGCTGAAATTTGCCAGATATATAGCAAAATGATAAGCATTCTTGGACCAACTAATGAAATGATTACAAAATTGATATTTACAAGAAAACAATTATTTACACTGATAAACAAACAACATAAGAAAAATTATGTTATACATGAATGTTTGTGACAGACCAGATTTTAACAACAAAAACAATAAACAATTTTGTTTGTACACTTCATCTCTCACATAAAAAATGTTATATAAAAACATATGACATATTGTGTTTTGTTACATGCTAAATGTGTGATTTATGAGGAATAATTTACCATGTGTGACTTGCTAATGTTTATGATAAATGATTTAATAAAATTCATATGACTTTCCAGATCTATCAAAATATAAAAATTTCATCAAATGTCATTTTTTGTGTAAAACCACCCATTAACAAAATCTGTCTTAACTGGGATTCACCAGAGATACATGTTATCAATTCTGAAATGCATATTTCTGTCAGAAAATTAAAACAACGATAAATCCTTCAGAAAAAACTATTTGTAGTTTTACAGGAATGCCTTTGTATGGCATGTAATAAACTGGTGTTTGGTCCATTATATGTTAATGTGACACCCTGTACACGAACGTTAGCAACTCTCCAGTACTTCTATCACATGACCTATGGATTTCCCTCCTGAACTTCCAACTGCAGTCTGAAAAAAAGTAAACATGCTTTTACATATTTCTCATAGGCACTTACTATCAGAATGTACTTAAATTAATAAAAACTTTGTGTCATTGAACTAAAATGATATTTTATGTAAAGATAGTCATAAAACTTGCCCTTGAAAAATCCCTTTCTTCAGCAAATGTTTAAACTTCTAAATATTTTAATTGTACTGGATGGATGTGTTGATATTTAAAAACCAGCAGACAATCTTTTAGTGAACAATGGATAGATGTATGGATATCAAATATCCAGCAGGCAATCTTTGATTGATTGATTTTTGCTTGTTTAATGTCCAGTGGCATATATGGCAATCTTTAAATGAACAGTAGATATATGTCTGTATATCAAATATTCTTCAGGAATCTTTAAATGAACAGTGGATAGATGTATGGAAATCAAACAGTCTTCAGGAATCTTTAAATGACAGTGGATAGATGTATGGAAATCAAATTTTCTTTAGGAATCTTTAAATGACAGTGGATAGATGTATGGAAATCAAATATTCTTCTGGAATCAAATATCCAACAAGCAATCTTCAAATGAACAGTGAATGGAAGTATGGATAATATCCAACAGGCAATGTTCAAATGAACAGTAAATAGATGTATAAATTTTAAATACCCAGCATGTAATCTTTAAATGTACAGTGGACAGGAATATCCAACAGGCACAACAAGACTAATGATGGAGGTAAATGAATTGAATTACAAATATAAACTTACTGTTAGACTCATAAAGGATAAAAACTTCTTCAGTATCATTATCATATCATCAAAATTACCCGATGGTAGATGTTCCTTCACTTGGTTAACAAACACCTGAAATATACAATAAAATCACTCAAATAATGTCTTATATTTACTTTCAAATGTGATTACTTTTACTTTTTGTTATAACATGTGAAGAATTCCTAATATGTAAATCATCAAATGGATAATTCTGGGTCATTGAAAATTGTTAAAATCTGGGAAAACTCTGGACACAGGATATGATAATGGACATATACTATTTTCCTATTGAAACCAGCTACACTAAGCTCCATAATATATACAACAAAGACTCTATCATGGTAAAGACTTAAATGAAATGATATCAGACAGTTTTAACCTTAAGTGTATATGACATTGTTTTCAGTGATCATTTAGATGTAACCACAAAGTTGCATGCGATCTTGAGTCACACAACCCAGTAATAAAGCTATGCACTAACAGTGTGATCCAGTATTATACACAGCCCAGTGATCAAGTTATGTACTGATCTGGTACAACCCAGCATTAAAACTATGTACTTACAGTGTGATCTAGCTGTTATTACACAACCCAGTATTAAACCTATGTACTAACAGTGTGATCTGGCTGGTATAACACAAAACAGTAATAAAGTTATGTACTTATAGTGTGATCTGGTATAACACATCCCAGTAATAAAGCTATGTACTTACTGTGTGATCTGGTATCACACAACCCAGTATTAAAACTATGTACTTACAGTGTGATCTGGCTGATATCACACAACCAGTACCGCCTTGGTGGTCTCGTGGTAGCGTGTTTGCCTTGAGTGTGGGAGGTTGTGGGTTCGAACCCCAGTCTGGTCAAACCAGACTTTAAAATTGGTATTTGCTGCTTCTCTGCTAAGCACACAGTATTAAGGAGTAAGAGCAAAGACTGGTCGGCTCGGAATCAGAATAATGTGTCCGAGTAAGGTGACATGTCTTCCTGCAGATTTTTACCTTGTGAACTAGCAAGTTAAAAATCCAGCTCAGCGCGTCGGGTCCAGTACAAAGCAGGGTAAATATTCATTTTAAATTAACATGTTCTCGTCCTGAATATGCATATTAATTTGCCACTGGACGTTAAGCAGTCATCCATCATCATCATCAAAACCCAGAAATAAAGTTATGTACTTACAGTGTGATCTGGTACAACACATCCAAGTAATAAAGCTATGTACTTAATGTGTGATCTGGTATTACACAACCCAGTATTAAAGCAATGTCCTTACAGTGTGATCTGGTATTGCACAACCCAGTAATAAAGCTATGTACTTAGTGTTATCTGGTATAACACAAACCCATTAATAAAGCTATGTACTTGCAGTGTGATCTGGTTTTACACAACCCAGTATTAAAGCAATGTACTTACAGTGTGATCTGGTATTGCACAACCCAGTAATAAAGCTATGTACTTACAGTGTTATCTTGTATTACACAACCCAGTAATAAAGCAATGTACGATGCTACTATGCTGTTCTCCATATGCTTGCCAGCTTTCTGTAATGCTGAAAGAAAAAAAAAAAAAAAATTATTGTTACATAAATCAAAATATTATTCAGAAATCAAATATAGTAGTATATAACTTATATTTTAAGGTATATCTTTTACATTATTCCTATATCATCTTTCCCTCTCCTCAATTCTTTAAAAATATACACGAATACACACATCCAATATATATGGCATATCCACCAGTGTTAATCAATGCTCAGATTTCCAGAATTCTATATACATTATTCAAAATATTGTGACTTTTTTTTTTAAATATGTGGAACACTATACACATAAATGAGATAATTAAGGAATAAAAAGGAAGATTTTGTAATATTTGAATATTTTTTTTCTTTTTTCACAGTGGAAATTAAAAGTTTCATGACGAATTCGAATAGGATATCTTGTGTTATCTAATTTCAACATAATAATAAATGAGGCTTTGGCCAGTTTATAACTATTATTGAAATTAAATAATGAGAGTTAAAATCAATCAAAATGTTATTACAGTCGAACCTCGTTTTGTCAAAGTTGAAGGGACCGGACCAAAGTATTTGACTTATCCGAGGTTCGACTCATCCGAGGTCGAGTGTGTTTTAAATTTAAAATGCATGAAATACGGTATGAGATTTGTGTAAACTAGATACTTTGAACAGTGTGCCTTTTTTCGATATGACACTTTATGATTGTGTATTCAATCTCCATATCTTTTGGTCCTTCATAATAATTAAACACACAAGTACAGATACAAATCATGCACAAATAAAATCAATAGTATACACAAATATTTAGAAAGTCGGTCACTATAAATTATGAAATCACTCGCGGAACAAAACAAGTTCTGAACAGTCTCTGATGAGGTAGCCTGATTTACATTAAATTATTATGAATTTATCATAATTGTTTTAATCCTTTAATTTATTGTACTTAATGAATTTTAATTCTAACAATTCATTTAATCTCGGCTTTGGTCATTTAAATGCTTTTTGTTTTTATGTTAGGTGAAATATGTTCAACACACTAACGTTCAGCATGGACGATCAACAAAGGTGTTAATTACCGGTCACCATAAACATGTCATTTTAACTGTTATACAAACAAGTATCTTTACTCAGCTTTATTCTCTTTTGAAAATGATTAGGTTACACAAGAAATACATCCGATTTGAATTTTTATCATTATGTTGGCATCTTTCAAAAATTCTTACTTACCCTTTTCGAACTTCGAGACATCGGGGTCGAAATCACATAAATTTTACATCGACGGGACTATAAAATTTACTTGACTTTACCGAGTATTCGAATCAACTGAGTTCGACTCATCAGAGGTAATTATGCATTGATCAAACGGGAATTTTGCCGGGACCGAAAAATTACTTCGACTCATCTGAGTTTTCGACACAACCGAGTTCGACACAACGAGGTTCGTCTGTAAATAATGAGTTAATATCAAGTGAAGTGTAATTCTCACAAGTTAATAAACCTATTTCTAATATTGTAAAAATTATCTATGTGTAAAACAAATATTTCCATGATGTTGTACCTTTGAAGTTTTATAAATCCATAGAAAATAAAAATTAAATTGATTATTTCATCCTTTACATAGCAACAGAGGAAACCCTCATTATGTACCTTTAGCAAACGTTTCTTCGTCAGCCAAATCCTCTTCTTTGCTGCCAGGTTTTAGTCTCTCCTCTACATCACCATTTGTTTTCTGGTCATTTTTATTTTTCTTGGCCGAATTAACTATCCATTCCACTCCTGACTCTGACTCCTTCCATTCACCAGACTTGTTAGGAGACTGTTGAGGTGTTGTGGACTCCTGGGAGAAATCTTGTTCATCCATTGTCTTTGCTGTCTCAAATCTCTTACAGAATACCTTTAAATAAACAACAGAAACTAAAGAGTGCTAATATTAAAAATAAACTGTTAACACAGAGATATGTCTCGCCTATTTTTTATTATGATAATGCAAATGTTGAAATTAAAATAGCAATACTTTAACATGTAAGTTATGCAAATATTCAAAGTCAATGAACCATGACTGAAGGTACAGGGCTAAACAATCTCCATGGAAATGAGATGTGCCAATGCTAATACAACTGTAAATCAAATACCATTGACTTTTCATAAGTCGTTCCCTTTAAACAAACCTAAACACAAACATTAACTTGTAAACTATGTAAAAGTTTGAAAGTCAATGAACCATAATTAGGAGGTGGGGTTATATAATCTCCATGGAAATGAAACTTGCAAATGCCAATACATTTGCATACCAAATATCATTGACTTAACATTAGTGGTTCATCTTAAACTGACCTTATCACAAACTAATACATGTAAACTAAGCAAAACTTTCAGTGTCAATAGACCAAGACTGAGGGGTAAGGACCTGATATTCTCCATGGAAATGAGTTGTGCTAATGCTTATACAACTGCATACCAAATATCATTGACCTACCACTAGTGGTTCCACATAAACTGACCTAATCACAAACTAATACATGCAAACTAAGCAAAGTTTCAAAGTCAATAGACCATGACTGAGGGGGCGGAGCCAAATTATCTCCATGGAAATGAGATATGCCAATGCTTATACAACTGCTTACCAAATATCATTGACTTACCACTGGTGGTTCCCCATACACTGACCTAATCACAAACTAATACATGTAAACTAAGCAAAAGTTTCAAAGTCAATAGACCATGACTGAGGGGTCAGGGCCAAATAATCTCCATGGAAATAAGATGTGCCAGTGCTAATACAACTGCATACCAAATATCATTGACCAACCACTAGTGGTTCACCTTAAACTAGACCTAATCACAAACTAATACATTGTTGACGACGACGCCGCCAGAAACAGCATACCTATGTCTCGCTTTTTTTACTCCGTCAAGGCGAGACAAAATAATGTTTTTGAAATGAAATATAAAAGTATTTTGATTAAAATAAATAATAAAATCCTTAGAATATCAGTCAGAATTTAATTGTTTAAATTGATTAAAATCGTTCATAGAAATAACTGCAAGTTGTTAATTACCATGTCATGATTTGGTTGATTGGTTATTAAAAATCAATAGGATTAAGTACAGGACATTGTCGTAGGTAATAATGTTTATCACAGGAACATGAAATTTCACACCTTTTGATTTAAACAAAAATTATTGACAAGCTTTTTATAATAAAATATAATTTCGGTAAACTGTCGTTTAAGCATTTTTGTTTACTTAATTCTGGACAAAACGACAATTCTTCGTAATAAAATTTTAAAGGGAAAATGTAGGAAACAAACTGCATTTCAAACAATATTCCAACAAATTGTCGTTTAAGCAAGTATTTTTATTTATTCTGGACAAAAAGGATATTTTGTACGAAATAAAACTTACCAAACAAAATGTTAAATCAATTACTTTCTTAGTTTTGACCATTTTTAATGACTGCTTATTATGTCGTGATTAGGGTAAATAGCTTTCAATCAGCTGTACATCAAAGGGCCTTAAATATGTTACAAAAGTTTGACAAGAAATTGTAAATTGTAAAACAAACAAATAATAAGTTGCCTTTGTCCACGTTTGTAATCAAAGTTTTAAATCAACACTTTAACCTACAATGATCGAGCGACGATTAGGACAATTCAAACCATTTTCAATGAATTTCTATCTTTTGTCTTTATCATTATTCAAATAAAGATCCCCGAATTAATGTATCTGAAACATTTTTTTGAAACAGAGATCCACGAATTTACTTACAACACGAAGTGTCTTTTTTTCTCCATCCACGAAAATAAATGAATCCACAGTAGTATAAAATCAAGCCTATTTTTTGTATTAAAATAAAAAAGTTCATGATTTGTGATAAAAACTGAAAATTTTCAAATTTTCTTGATTAAATATATCTCACAAGAAGAATGTGTCCATAGAACACGGATGCCCTACTCACACTATCATTTTCTATGTCCAGTGGACCGTGAAATTGGGGTCAAAACTCTCATTTGGCATTTAAATGATCATATCATAGGGAACATGTGTACTAAGTTTCACGTTGATTGGACTTCAACTTCATCAAAAACTACCTTGACCAAAAACTTTAAACCTGAAGCGGGACAGACGGATGGATGGATGAAAGAACGAAAGAACGAACGAATGAACGGATGCACAGACCGAAAAACATAATGCCCCTAGGTGGGGCATAAAAAGAAATCTATCACCTTCTTGATACTTTGCGCTAAGAAAAACATGAAACATGGAAAGAATTAAATTTTGTGGTGTGTGGAGTCCTAATTGCAGGTAGATGATAAAGTTCTCCTAAACATAAGCCACATCTGGATAACCATATATATGACAAAAACAAATATAGTTATTTATAGAACTTATTTAGAAGTTCTAACTACTAATAATGAAATCTAACTTTTGTGCAAGTAAAGATTGATTGATTGATTGGTGTTTAATGCTGCTTTCAGCAAGCTCATCAGCTATTTCCAGTTTGGATTGGTGGAGGAAGCCTGAGTGCCTGAAGAGAGCCACTGACGGCAAGAAAACAATCCTAGTCAATTAAGGTAGGAATTGAGAGCACCTGCCACGGAGCCACTGACGGCAAGAAAACAATCCTAGTCAATTAAGGTAGGAATTGAGCGCACCTGCCACGTGCAGGATTTGAACTCACAACCTCAGTGTTGACAGGCTAGTGATACAGTAGTTCGACTACTTAGACCACTCCACCATAAGTTAAGATGAAGACTATATCTAAATGTAAGATGAAAGATTAGTCACCTACATGAAAAAAATATAACTTAAATGTTTACTTGCGGCTTTCAACAGATTATACATTAGAAAAACATTTATCTATAAACACATGACATATGATGGATTTAATATTTCTTTCCATACCTCAACAAGAGCCTTTGCTGCGGGAACTGTGTTTTTATTGCCAAGACAGTCAAATTCAAAAGATCTGTGTGTCTTTGAATCTAGGACTTTTCTCCTGTTTACACCACAGTGTTCCACCAAATTAATCAATAAACCCAGGGACTGAAAATAAAGACAATTAAGAATATACAACAGTTGAAATTACTTTTGATACAAAATATTTGTCTCAGTTTTCCAAATTAGATTGACATTTACTCCATTAGTACCTTGTTACAAATGAGGTGTGAAATATTCTGTAATTATATCTTGAGATACATGCTTTAAATGTAGGTAGGGTTGATGTGAGTGCCAATTTTCGTGGATTGAGGAAAACTTTTTAATTTTGTGGTTTTGCCAAAGTCTGCATACAACCTTATAGAAAATGCATCATTCCTTGAACATTTAAATTTTTGGTTCACCTGTACCCATGAAATCCATAAAAATTGGTATCCAACAAATAATATTAGTTATCTTGGTGTAATCAGGGGTGTACAGAATTTAACACCATTGCCGAAGGGTTTATGCATTTTCAACATGGCTGTAAAATTCTGTACACCCCTGATAACAAATTTATTTCTTATGAAGTCATTTTTATAACGGGTGTGTGTTGTTTTTTTAATTTTGCAAATAAAATATTATTTTTTTGCTAATTTTTGCATTTTTAATTTTTTTTTTCCAGTAATTTTGGGAACATTTTTTGTTAGGAAATTTTTAGCAAGGGTTGGGTGTTATTTATCCGCGGTAATCAGATTGCAGGATTCTTGCTGCATATGAATAATAATGAATACACAGTGATAAGATATTTAGATTTTTTAACTAGGGACCATATTATTCTTGCACATATAACAATAACTTATAAGATTCTGTTTTCTATACTGACACTAACTGATACTTAGACACACTGATGATAGCTAGATACAAGGATAAGAATGTAATATCGGATATCTTGTGTGACACACTGAAGATAGCTAGATACAAGGATAAGAATACCATATCAGAGATCTTGTGTTAGGGCTATTCCAATAAAATGTATGTGGGAGGCTAGGAAGGAAAGTTTAATTATTGAATGTGGGTCATGGGTCTTTTTTCAGTATGCGTCTATTACCATTATGCAAATTTTCTAAAAAATGGTTCTTGGTTGTAGGGGTATTTTGAAAGTCCCTTCCCACCCTCCCACATACATTTTGATTGAATAGCCCTTACACACTGAGGATAGCTAAATACAACAATAAGAATGTTATATCTGAGATCTTGTGTTACACACTGAGGATACATACTTACAAGAATAAGGATATCATACCCTAGATCTTGTTTGACACACTGGAGATACTTACAAGGATAGGGATATCATATCTGAGATCTTGTGTGACACACTGGAGATACTTACAAGGATAAGGATATCATATCTGAGATCTCGTGTGACACACTGGAGATACTTACAAGGATAAGGATATCATATCTGAGATCAGGTGTGATACACTGGAGATACTTACAAGGATATGGATGTCATATCTGAGATCTTGTGTGACACACTGGAGATACTTACAAGAATAAGGATGTCATATCTGAGATCTTGTGTGACACACTAAGGAAGATAGATACTTACAAGGATAAGGATATCATATCTGAGATCTTGTGTGACATACGGAGATACTTACAAGGATAAGGATATTATACTCTAGATCTTGTGTGACACACTGGAGATACTAACAAGGATAAGGACATCATATCTGAGATCTTGAGTGACACACTAGAGATACTTACAAGGATAAGGATGTCGTATCTGAGATCTTGTGGAACATACTGTGGAGTCTGTAAGATGGCTGTTAATACTGTACTTATGAAGTCCTCTTGTTCTCCAACTTTTGTACAGGCGAATTCTGTGGTAAAAGACATACAATATAGTTTGCTTTGCTACCAGTTGACTAAATAAGAATGTGTCCATGAGACACAGATCCTGCGCTTGTAAATATACGGCAAATTCTGCAATTTTTCAATTTACAAAGATACAAGTCAAGAACGGTGAAAGTGATTCCACCCAAATTTTAACTTGATCTGTGTTTGGTGGTTATAACCATTGTGTATAAGTTTTATAAAATCTGGTCGAGGTAACCTAAAGTAAGAGTGCAGAAACAGCAAATTAAGCAATTTTTTTCCATTTATAAAGGGACATAACTCGGGAACGGTGAAAATGACGCCATCCAAATTCAAACTTGATCTGTGTTTGGTGGTAATAAGCATTGTGTATAAGTTTCATAACAATTAATTAAGACAAACTAAAGTTAGAGAACAGAAAACTATTTTGGGACGTACAGACAAACAACGTTAAAACTTAATGACCCCTCAGCCGCAGCGGGGGCATCAAATTTACAAGCAACCTTTTTATTTTTAACTTTGGCCCCTTAATTTACTCATTTCATAATATCAAATAATCTCCCAACTGATTTATATCTATCATTTAATCATATTCACTTTCATGAATAGCTGACTATACAGAATGGATTTTGCTCATTGTTGTGGCAGTACGGTGACTTCTTAAATGCCTTGTATCCAAACAACATCATATATCATGGACTGAATTCATAAATCTGTAAACTGGGAGTGCCAGTTTGCACATCACAAAAATTCATACCCCTTTCACCTATTATGTACAACAATTATGTTGTTTTGCAACTGAAAACTCTAAAAACCATCTTTATATAAAAAAAATAAAAAGGAAGGTGAACAATGTCATAAGATATAAAAGATTTCCTGTATATGCTGACCAAAAAAACCAACAGGCAAATACAAGGACAAAGGAAAAAATAATCACACATACCCCACATTTCAGTAAGCATATCATAAACATGGAAATATTTGTGGCAGCTTTTTTCCTTTGTATGTGCAGTTAGTGTTAAGCTGAAGTATGCACTACTGTTTTAAAATATAAGTAACAGAAAATTTCTGTATAAGATGTGACAATGCTCAAAGTAAACCATTCTATATACACATAGGAAGGACCAAATACTGAACAAAATAATATTACTTATTGTAAATGTACATGTTTCAAAATCAATTTAATTATATCTGATATATATAAGATTTACCATTTTCATGAGTGAGATTGAGTAGTACTGATAGGATCGCCAGTATACTTTTATACACAACATATCCATAAGACTCCTTGTCTAGTTTCTGTCCATCAGGTAAGGGATAAATGGGTAAAAACTTCTGACAGATTTCAAGTGCTCTGGAAAAAAGTATAACAATTAACATGAAATTATCAAAATAAAATAACGCATCAAGAAGGGATAAAAGGGATAAACTTTAATCAGCCTCTGTTGGATACTATTTAATCATTAGATATAAGCATTCTTAAGCACTCCAAACTGCAAATTTTATAAACATATGTACTGAGGATAAATTTCACTGAAATCTTAAATTAACAGCACTTGTATGCAGGGGATTCCTACTTGTATGTAGAATTGACAAAATACTTCAAGTGAAGCAGGGAAATTTTCAACTAGAGGCTCTAAAGAGCCGGTGTCTCTCACAAAGGTCTATGTGCATCTTCAACATTGTAGACAACTGTTTACAGTTTCTATCCTATTTAGTTTTTGCTCAAAAAACAAAAGAGGGTAAAAAAATATCGTCATGTAAGGGCAATCACTCTCCTACCTACTAATTTTTTTGGCAGAATTTGACTTAATTGTAGATCATGTCTTTCTGATAATTTTTGTTACCTAAAGTTTTTATATTTCTTTTATAGTTTCCAAGATATGCAAAAACACCAAAATTGGTAGAAATCATAATTAAAGAGCAATAACTGAAATAACCAGTTGACTGAAGAATTCAGCTATTAGACTTATTTTTAGATCTTGTCTTGCTGATCATTTATGCTGTTTAAAGTTTTTATCTATCTCACGTATGCTGTTAAAAGTTTCTATCTATCTATTGTAGTTTTTAAGATTTAAAGGCAAAAACGCAAAAAAAAGATGGTGAAAATTGTCATTAAAGAGCAATAACTCTAATAAGGAGTCAATTGACGATTTCCACTATATTGACTTATTTTAAGAACGTGTCTTGCTGATCAGTTTTGCTGTTCAAAGTTTCTATTATAGTTTTCAATATAATAGGCAAAACGGAAAAAAAGTAGTAAAATTCATAATTTTAGGGCAATAACTCCAATAAGAAATTGTCTGACAGTTTTCTTAAACAGATAATAGGTAGTGCTCAACATTCGGAATATTTCTGCCCCCGTCAGATTTTCTCTATTTATATCAGTTTTCAAAATATTTGACAAAACTTACATTTTACCCCTATGTTCTATTTTTAGCCATGTCGGCCATTTTGGTTGGCAGGCTGGGTCATTGGTCATTTTTTAAACTAGATACCCCAATGATGATTGTGGCCAATTTTGGTTAAATTTTGCTCAAAAGTCTCAGAGGAGATGATCTTTGTAAAACTTAACGCACGACGACAGACGATGGGAAAAGCTCACATGGCCCTTTGGGATGGTGAGCTAAAATTGAGGTGTTCATAATTGCACATAATAGTAGACATTGTGACTGAGCATGGAAATTTAAATATATAGATATATAGACTTTGCATCAATGTTACAAAATTTAACAAAATCAAAATCCTTTTCTCCTAAATGCTTACCTGCAACAAGATGAACCAATGATTCCTGATTTGTATGACATTAAATATGTCTGATTCTCTGTGTTCACAAATATCACCTGAAAAACATAAAATTCTATTGTTAAATCAAGTGAATGTTGTATAAAAAATACCACCAGAAACAAATAAAATTAGTATGATCTAAATCTGAAGAATACTACACATTGCATTATTTCCTTTGATTATTTTCAATTAAGACTAGCATATATAATAAATCCCCAAGAATTAATTGTAATGAAATAAACAGGAGGTAATATCAAAATGACAATTCAAAGTGAATTTTCCTGTGACCTTCTAGAAAATAACCATATAATATAAAGAAATAAGCTTTCAATGCTGTTCTTCATATGAACAGTTCCTGGAAGGAAGTCCATGTCTAACAGTAAGTTAAAGAATGGTGCATTGGGATAGAGCTGGACTCAAGTCAATCTGTCACCAACAAAATCTTCAGCATCAAATTTTTGTTGCCAATTTTTTAAATTTGAACCAAAGTATTTCAATGTAAAGTTTCATCCAAATTTACCTACAAAAGATTGCTACTGATCTTAGTAAAAAATCTGATTGATTTTAAGTTTAGTAAATTTGTCAGAAATTATACACAATTTATACCTCTCATGTGTCACACAATGGGTGAATTACTTCAGGGTGGTTAGGCAATAACCATGTGAATGTCAGGGTCTTTCTAAATACCTTCGGAATATTCAATTAAAGAAAAAATACTTCTAAATTTTTATCCTCAGAGTAGTTTTAAGAAAAAATGTTGGTCTAAACAATTATAGGCAAGTCCAAAACAATGCTGTGTTGGCAGATGAAATACAAAGTAGGAAATTACTACACTGACAATCAACAGCTTGATAAAATTTTTTACAGAATGCTATTTTGCTTGGATTCAACATGTTTTCCATTATTTCTTTTGAAATACATGAGTTGTCTCCATCAAAAGCAGATTGATGCATTCCTCTTATACTGCTTCAAGCTGCCAGTTGATGCATTTATGGCCATCAAATTGCCACTTGATGGTATCAACTCATCAAATCCTATGCAGTTGTTCCTTAAATTACAACTACATTTCCCAGTGAGTATAAGAAGTAATATTACAGGTACTATCATTTGTTGTTCAAAAAATTACTTTATAAAGATTACAAATATATCAACAATTACAAGGCAATTCAAATATTATGAAAGTGGTGAAGTTGACATCATCTCTCTGTAAATTTAAGAATGTCATCCCAAGTAGGTTGACCGTTATGGAATATCTGTTTCACAGATGGCAACGGATATGTTCCAACTCTCGTAACTACAATCCTGTCGCCTTTTCCCTAAATGTGACCTACCAAATTTGACTTATCACCGAGTTTGTACTTACATGAGCAACATGACAGGTGCAACATGTGGAGCAGGATCTACTTACCCTTCCAGAGCACCAGAGATCACCCCCAGTTTTTGGTGGGGTTTGTGTTGCTCTGTCTTTAGTTTTCAATGTTGTGTTTTGTTTAATGTTGTTTGTCTGTTTGTCTTTTAGCCATGCTGTTGTCAGTTTATTTTCAATTATGAGTTTAAATGTCCCTTTGGTATCTTTTGCCTCTTTTTCATGGTTCTAATGTTATTTAAATTGGAAACAGTTAATTCAACATCAATATTTTTAAAAGAGAGAAAGTGTTCCATACATTTTCCAATACTCGTAAACATCTGTCAGTTTTCTTGATATTTTCTAGAGTACTATCATACAGTAAAGTTGTATCATCTCCTATGGCCTGTATACAGGAACAAACTGTAATTTAAAATAAATATTAGAATACTATAAATGTCTGACTCAAAAAAATCAAACCAAGCAACTGAAAGATTTCACACTGCAAATATTGATAAGTGGAGGAATCTGCATTTGCCTTATAAAAAGATCTAATTACAAAGTCATGCCATTTTGCATAAATATTGTTAATTGATCTGAATTATTTCATCAAAGTTTTTTGTTGTGCTGTTACACCATTGTCTCAGGTTAGGTGATGGTTGAGCACTCACAATCAAGTTTAACCCTGCCACATTCTATATGTGCCTATCCAAGTCAGGAGCCTGTAATTTAGTGGTTGTCTTTGGTTGCTGTCTGTCGTCATATTTGTTTTCATTTATTTCTTTATCATAAATTGGGCTGTTGGTTTTCTCTCTGAATTGTTTCACATATTGTCATGTAAAAACCTTTAATAGCCGACTATGTGGTATTAGTTTTGCTCACTGTTGAAGCCTTACAATGACCTATAATTGCTTACCTCCACATAATTTTGACTCTGGAGGGTACTTGTCTCATTGTAAATCATACATCTTTTTTCATTAAATGTGAATTCCTTTAAATGTGAATATTCACCAAGACTTGAAGTACAGAAAAAGTCTTTAATTCAATTTTCACCAAAAAGATGAAAATGTACTTTTGACACATATTTTTATGTCTGATATCTTTACTGAGTTTTCACAGAACTTATGATAGAAATTTACTTTAAGTTCTCTTATTCATATTTACCTGTATCTACAATATGATCTAAAGCACCAAGTGTTCGTAATTCTTCCTTAAACCATTCCCCAGCTCCACGTGAGGTCAGACTAAGTAACGACTCCATTGCAAGGTTACCAGTCTAAAAAATAAGCACAAAAAATCAACTTGTCGACCTCTGAACTCACTTGCTCGAATCCATTGTTAAAAATCTTGCATATTGATAATGTGCACAGTGACACTTTGAACTTTTAGCGTACCTAAGATGAAGGGAGTAATATGTTGTGTTATATGAATTTGTAACTAAATAAAGAATACTATATTAAAAATTGTTTATTATTTTCACAGATTTGCCATCCCAAAGTAAGTTCTCTGATTCAATGTCACTATCATTATTGGGAGTTTATTTTGGATTCAATCGTCATCACTGCCCATATCATTGGATTCTCTTATAGACCTATCGATCCTGTTACCAACGGTGAACCCAAATTTTCTTAAATCTATTTTTCACTTTGATTCCGTCTTGGAGGTAAACAATCAATACATGAGTTAAAAGCCTTGCGAATCCCAAGTGATTAAAACCAATTAAAGATTGTGATTCCGGAGACCCAGTTCTCTCAGAATTTATCTCTTTCGATATGAAAACTTCAGTCAGCCGTCAAGTTCAATCAATGAATTTAGATTTTGTTTGATCAATAAAAGAATCGTTCATGTTTTAGGTATTTGTAGGTCTTCAAATTTGATATATTTCATATCATGGATTTTTCACTTGTCCCATCAGACAATCGGACAACGGCAATGTCGAGCCCTGAAACATTGCTTACTTTTGTGCTATTTTCAAGTCTCCCATAAACACAATTTTATTTCCATCTTCTCAATTTTGACCTGCTTGAAAACTTTGAGTGATCAATCTTAAATTCTGATAGATTGTGTTAAATTTCTGATCAACTTTATTTAAATCTTAAATAAAATGCTCCGCTGGGCGCAGCTTGATACGACCGCAGAGGTCGAACCCTGAACAGTTGGGGTAAGTATGGACACAACATTCAAGCTTGATACAGCACTGAATTTGGATTGTGATTAAATATTTGACACAGGATAGGTTTCTGACACAGAATGAATGTGGTCTAAGAACTTAAAAAATTTTCATTTAACTATTCAAACCATATCATTATTATTTGCTTTTATATATAAATCAGAAATAACCAATTTAAAATGGAAAATTTTAAAGAAAAAAAGGAGGAAAAAAATCCCCCTCCCCCCAAATTTTTTGAACCCCCTTATGATTCATCACCCCCAAACTCAATCCCACCCTTCCCTTTGTGGTATGGTACCTTGCAGTACAATTTCAGAGAGATCCATACACTTGAACACAAGTTATTGTCTGGAAACTAGAAAAATGCTTATTTTTGGCCCCTTATTCCTAAATGTTTTGGACAATTACCCCCAAACTCAATTCCAGCTTTCCCTTTGTGATATGGAACCTTGTAGTACAATTTCAGAAAGATCCATACACTACCACACAAGTTATTGTCATGAAACTAGAAAAATGCTTGTTTTTTCCCCCTTTTTGGCCCCTAATTCCTAAAATTTTGAGGCAATTACCCCCAAAATCAATCCCAGCCTTCCCTTTGTGGTATGGTACCTTGCAGTACAATTTCAGAGAGATCCATACACTTGAACACAAGTAATTGTCTGGAAACTAGAAAAATGCTTATTTTTGGCCCCTTATTCCTAAACGTTTTGAGCAATTACCCCCAAACTCAATTCCAGCTTTCCTTTTGTGGTATGGAACCTTGTAGTACAATTTCAGAAAGATCCATACACTAACACACAAGTTATTGTCATGAAACTAGAAAAATGCTTGTTTTTTGCCCCTTTTGTGGCCCCTAATTCCTAAATTTTGAGGCAATTACCCCCAAAATCAATCCCAGCCTTCCCTTTGTGATATGGAACCTTGTGGTACAATGTCAGAGAGATCCATACACTAACACACAAGTTATGTCTGGAAGTTACAAAAATGCTTATTTTTGGCCCCTAAATTCCTTAACTGTTGGTACCATAACCACCAAAATCAATCCCAACCTTCCTTTTGTGGTATTGAACCTTATGGTGAAATTTCAAAGATATCCATTCACTTAAACTAAAGTTAGAGTGCGAAAACCAATGTGTCTTCGGACGACGACGACGACGCCAACGTCATACCAATATACGACCACAAAATTTTTTTGCGGTCGTATAAAAACCTCAATTGATAAGATTTTTTTTCCCGGTCTCATATTTGACTCATAGAGAAATACAGAAATCCAGAGTCCTTTTTCCCCTTTTAGATCCTTCCCATACTTTTGCCTTTTTAAAATAATTTAGGGGTCTTCCATAAAAACATACATAGCACCCAGGGAATTCACTTACAATTCTCACCTATTGACGAGTGTTTTTGAACAGTAAAACTTTATGAGAAAATTCTAAAATTGCCTCTATATATGGTTATCCAAATTTCAAAGTCCCTGTCCTGAGTACCATTAATGTTTTAATGAAAAACCCCTTAGGAAGATCTGTCCTACATTTATCTTTCAGATATGCACCCTTGGAAAGTAATATTTTCTTCTGACATTTGACTTACAGAAACGCTTTCAAGATCAGCTTGATGTTCTTTCCCATCTTCCTTCTGTAACTGGAAATACACTTCCTTAGCACGTTCAATATTTCTGTTGAGAGCTCGTTTCCCTGCAGCTGTCATTCCTCCATCATTGTTTTGGTTATCGACCTCCATAAGTCTTAACATTAAATTGAGACTAGACTTGTCTAGATCCATGTTTAATCTGTCTCGACTCAACATAAACATCATCAAAGCTGTACATAAGGCTAAACTCTGTCAAAATATGTGAGAGAAAATATAATATCCCTTATCCAAACATGTTTTCTAGTCCTTTGAAATTTTCATAAAATACTCCACTGGGCACAGCTTCATATGACCAGAGGTCGAACCCTGAACAGTTGGGGCAAATATTGACACTACATTCAAGCTTGATACAGCTTTGATTTGGATTGTGATTAAATTTTTGACACAGCATTGGTTTTTGACACAGAAAGAATGTGGTCAAAGAACAGAAAAATTTGAAATTGTACTTTTAACTATAATGGGTCCAATATCCAAAATCTAAATACAGTTAGATTCAGCATATCCAAGTACACCACGAATTTTATTTATTTATTAATGGACAAAATTAGTTATTAAAGGCGTTCGCTTCATCAAAAAAATATATATAAATATAGCATTTTGAAATTTCTTTTTTTATACAGAACAACAAACGAACCTACCACCAAGTTCCTCATTAAAAAATCTATAAAATTTACCTGTAATCATTTTTCAAAATATCTTATAATGAACAGTAAATTTCAAAATATATTTATACATAATTTCTTCTCTTAAAGAAGATTTGATGCTGTATCTATCTTTTAACTATGACTCTACTTACAATTTCTAATAATTGTGCAATACAGCTCTGAATTTGAATTAAAATTAAATATTTGACATAGCATAGTTTCTGCCACAGAATGAATGTGGTCTAAGAACTTAAAAATTTGAAATTAGGCATTTGCCCATTATGGTCCAATATCCAAAATCTAAATACATGGTTAGAATCAGCATATCAAAGAACCCCAAGAATTTAATGTTTGATGAAATCGAACAAAGTTTAATTTTGGACCCTTTGGACCTCAATGTGGACCAATTTGATAATAGGGCCAAAATCCTAAATCTAAATACACGGTTAGATTCATCATATCAAAGAACCCCATATGTTCAATTTTTTGTTGAAATCAAACAAAAGTTCAATTTTGGACCCTGATTTGGACCAACTAGAAAACTGGACCCAAAATCATAAATCTAAATACATGTTTAGATTCAGCATATCAAAGAACCCCTTGAATTCAATTTTTGTTAAAATCAAACCTTAGTTTAATTTTGGACCCTTTGGATCTGCAGAAAATATGAACAAAAATTCTCTAAATGTTTACACATAGAGAGATGCAAACATTGTTAAAGACAACTTTGATAAATTTTTAAAATCAAGTTCAATGCATAGAAAAAGGATGAGTATATTCTGTATTTTTTCAAAGTCAAACAACAATATCAGATCTTATTGCCAGAAAATGCAATAAGTGAAAATTTAATTTAAAAGGTTGGAATACACCTATTTTTTTTTGCAACAGTTTTATTTTGCTATTTTTGCAGTAAGAGTTGAAACACAAAAATAAAAAATTCCATGAATATTTCAAGGTAAAAGATTCAAAGGATGAACACCATACATGAACGTATACCAATAGTATTATGAACAACAGAGCAAGTTATAACAATAGCTTTACATACGACAGATCTATACCACAAATTGAAACTTTTTTTTCTAAATGAAAGGCAGACAAGCATTAGAAATCAAAACTTTTAACTCATGACAGTAGAATTAAAATAAAAGACATCTCAAGCAAATGAAAATTATTGATATTGTTATATAAACAACACTCGTAACAGTAAGGTGTTTTTACAAGCAAACATAAAATTTGTTATAGCTTTTTAATTTATACTTAAATAAAAGTGAAATAACTTTAAATGAGCATGTGCATTAACAAACCGATTATAACTATTCACTTTGTTCAGACAAAAAGGTTTTCTGGTTTTTCCAATTTCAACATATTATTTTAAGAATCATGCACTGTTTCAAAATCATTTATAAGAATTTGTATTGGACCCCCATTAATGGTGAATTAAGATTCAGTTGGTAAACGTAGAAATTTCCCAGTTATCTGTAGTCAGTGGAAATAGAAGTTATTTGACAATACCAGAAAATTGAATTCTTCTGATTTAACCTACTAAAGAACTGAAGCTGAGTGCTAATCAGTCACTTCAACAGATTTTAAGGAAATTCATTTGTTTTCTTCTTTCTATAACCATGATGAAGTTGTCCATCCTTAGACTACAAAGGACACTCATGCAACCTTCATCTTAAAACTGTGATTCTCTGCCCTAAACTCCTACATAGAACACTGATATAGTCAGGTATATTACTTACAGGGTCAGAACCATTCTTAAAACTGTGATTCTCTGCCCTAATCTCCTACATAGAACACTGATATAGTCCGGTATATTACTTACAGGGTCAGAACCATTCTTAAAACTGTGATTCTCTGCCCTAAACTCCTACATAGAACACTGATATAGTCCGGTATATTACTTACAGGGTCAGAACCATTCTTAAAACTGTGATTCTCTGCCCTAAACTCCTACATAGAACACTGATATAGTCAGGTATATTACTTACAGGGTCAGAACCATTCTTAAAACTGTGATTCTCTGCCCTAAACTCCTACATAGAACACTGATATAGTCCGGTATATTACTTACAGGGTCAGAACCATTCTTAAAACTGTTATTCTCTGCCCTAAACTCCTACATAGAACACTGATATAGTCCATTATATTACTTACAGGGTCAGAACCATTCTTAAAACTGTGATTCTCTGCCCTAAACTCCTACATAGAACACTGATATAGTTTGGTATATTACTTACAGGGTCAGAACCATTCTTAAAACTGTGATTCTCTGCCCTAAACTCCTACATAGAAGACTGATATAGTTTGGTATATTACTTACAGGGTCAGAACCATTCTTAAAACTGTGATTCTCTGCCCTAAACTCCTACATAGAACACTGATATAGTTTGGTATATTACTTACAGGGTCAGAACCATTCTTAAAACTGTGATTCTCTGCCCTAAACTCCTACATAGAACACTGATATAGTTTGGTATATTACTTACAGGGTCAGAACCATTCTTAAAACTGTGATTCTCTGCCCTAAACTCCTACATAGAACACTGATACAGTCTGGTATATTGCTCACAGGGTCAGAACCATTCTTTAAACTGTGATTCTCTGCCCTAAACTCCTACATAGAACACTGATATAGTCCGGTATATTACTTACAGGGTCAGAACCATTCTTAAAACTGTGATTCTCTGCCCTTAACTCCTCCATAGAACACTGGTATAGTCCGGTATATTACTTACAGGGTCAGAACCATTCTTAAAACTGTGATTCTCTGCCCTAAACTCCTACATAGAACACTGATATAGTCTGGTATATTACTTACAGGGTCAGAACCATTCTTAAAACTGTGATTCTCTGCCCTAAACTCCTACATAGAACACTGATATAGTCTGGTATATTACTTACAGGGTCAGAACCATTCTTAAAACTGTGATTCTCTGCCCTAAACTCCTACATAGAACACTGATATAGTCCGGTATATTACTTACAGGGTCAGAACCATTCTTAAAACTGTGATTCTCTGCCCTAAACTCCTACATAGAACACTGATATAGTCTGGTATATTACTTACAGGGTCAGAACCAGCATCATGTAGATTACCAAATATAACAGAGACAGTACCATGGGCTCTCAGATGCATTCTAAATGATGCAGAAATACATTTCTGGGCAAGTCCAATACAACTGAAATATAAATCATAACAGTTACACAGAGCATCTCAATATAGTATGCATATTTTCTTCATTCAATCATATTTTAAATAAACATGAGAGTGTTTTTACTTTTAAAAAAAAATTCTTAAGATGAGAAAGAATGAAACTTTGTTTAAGTCGATATTGTTGAAAAACAGTGATAAATTTTGTGAGTACAAAACCCCTTTGTTTTTTTAATAAACTTCATCAGACGTGCTCAAATCCAAAAATTAGAAAGGCAAGGATGTATAGATACTTGAATGCATCAGGTGCTATATGATCAAAGGGACACTAAAAAGAAAATCTAAATCCACTAAAGTTAAGGCCAAAAATAAAAGTAGAATTGTTTGATGCTGCCGTCCTATCCACCTAAAAAGCAGCCTACTTGATAAATTTTATGACACAAATTGTTTCAAATTTTTTTTAAAAGTTTTTTTTCGTGCTCTTACATCGTTTTCTTATCTAAAACATGTAACTTATGTCATTAGTCAAAAAATAAAATTAAATCCCTACCTACCTAACCAACCCTACAAGGCATGGGTAGGCAACATCAAACAAAAAACTTGTTGAGGGTGGCCTAACTTTGCCTAAGGAAGTTGGAATCTTGGTTTCTTAATAATTTCTTAATTTTTTCTAATTCTTAATTCTAAATTTTTAATTTATCAACACAGAATTTAAGAAAAGTACAAGTATTAAAGTGAATAGGACAAACTCATTGGACTTCGTTAATGTCTTAAGAGGAAAGTTATACACAGTGTTTTCCACATACCTAAGACATCTTGTAGACATTGGTTCTCCTTCTTTCAAACCTGCTAACAAATATTCAATATCATCAGCAAACTCTTGTGTTTCTCCATGTTCCTGAACTTCATGAGCTTCTTTCACATTCTTTACAACAGTATAAAGCTGTAATAAATTGTTAAAATATGTTAATTAAATAAAAACTGATCAACTTCTCTTCTTAAGATATGATTTTATTTGGTAGTGGATTTATGGCTCACTACTTTTGTTTATCATTAATTTAATTTTTTTAGGTAAATCCAAGATTTCTTTTATATAGCAAGTTTTAAAGAACTTGAGGGCCTAGGAATACAATAGACATTTCCTCAATTTTTTTTTAATTCTCTTGTTTTTTTAGAAATGTTGCCCGATAACAGCAACTACATGTAAGAGAGCACACTTAAAATCAGACACATTAATAAAATTCATTCTCCTTTTTTAAAACGATTTTATCCTGTGCTTCTACATTTTTTGATACAAAATGAATTTCTGTTTCAATTGAACTACTTTAAACATATTATGATAATATGAATCCTAGTTGTGAAAAACCTAACTTAAAGAACACAACAGTTATTGTTGTATAGGGTCACCAAGATTTCTTGTCAAGCAGTAAGAAAACAAATGATCAAAGGAAATTCATTGGCAAAGTATCAAAAAGGCAGTCACAGCCACTTCTTATTTAGAATGTTAGATACAAGGTAACTTTTGAGAGAAACTGTAATTTCTTTATATCTAAAAAAAAAATCTGCACTTTTTCAACATCTCCCATAGTATATTGCCCTCTTTGTCACTGTTCAAATTAAGGTCTTTTCAAAATTGTTTAAATTAAAGAACCTTAGTGAGCGCACTCACATACCCCCACGTCCCCACATTGTTATTGGAGAAATAAAATAAGTGTAAGAAAAAAATATTGTATCAGAAAAACAAATTGAATCATAATTTCCTGTCAATATGCACATCTACGTAGTATGTCCTTATTATCTGAAAAGGTTTCATGAAATTCTGTTGTGTGGTTTGAGAGGAGTTGCGATGACAAAAGGTTGCAGTAGTATATTGGGCAAATAAGTTCAAAGGGGCGTAACTCCTGGAAAAAAAATTGAATCGTAATTTCCTGTAGATATGCACATCTGCGTAGTATGTCCTTATTATCTGAAAAGGTTTCATGAAATTCTGTTGTGTGGTTTGAGAGGAGTTGCAATGACAAAAGGTTGCAGTAGTATATTGGGCAAATAAGTTCAAAGAGGCGTAACTCCTGGAAAAAGAATTGAATCGTAATTTCCTGTCGATATGCACATCTACGTAGTATGTCCTTATTATCTGAAAAGGTTTCATGAAATTCTGTTGTGTGGTTTGAGAATTGTTGCGATGACAAACTGTTGCAGTAGTACATTAAAGTAAATAAGTTCAAAGGGGCGTAACTCCTAGAAAAAGAATTGAATCGTAATTTCCCGTCGATATGCACAACTACATAGTATGTCCTTATTATCTAAAAAGGTTTCGTGAAATTCTGTTGTGTGGTTTGAGAGGAGTTGCGATGACAAGAAACAGGACTGACAGACCGACAGACGGACGGACAGACGGACGGGTCAAAAACATTATACCCTCAGCAACAAGTTGCGTGGGGTATAACAAGAGTGCACATGCTGAAATGTCTCGCCTGTTTTACTGACCATTGATTTTATGTTGAAAGTCTTAAAGATATAGGTTTTACTACAAGTATCACATAAACTTAACATTTTTAAAGATCCATGACAATGAGGTCAAGGTCAGATAAAAACTGTAACACAGACTTACAATTAATTATTCCATACACCAAATATAGTTGACCCATTGCTTATGGTAATTGAAAAACAGACCAAAACACAAAAACTTAATGTTAACCAGTGAACCATGGAAATGAGGTCAAGGTCAGATGATACTGGCTAGACAGACATGTACACCTTACAATCATTCCAAACACCAATTATAGTTGACCTGTTGCTATTAGTATTTGAAAAAACAGACCAAAACACAAAAACTTAACAATGACTAATGAACCATGAAAATGAGGTTTAGGTCAGATGTCACCAACTAGACAGACATGTACACCTTACAATCGTTCCATACACCAAATGTATTTGACCTATTGCTTACAGTACTTGAAAAACAGACCAAAACACAAAAAAATAACAATGACCAATGAACCATGAAAATGAGGTCAAGGTCAGATGAAACCTGCCAGTCTGACATGTACCACTTACAATCATTCCATACACTACATATAGTTAACCTGCTGCTTGTAGTATCTGAGAAACGGTCCTATTCACGTAACTTAAACCTTGATCACTGATCCATGAATTGAGGTTGAGGTCAGGTAAACCCTGTCTGACAGACATGTAGACGTCGCAAGGAACCCATATCCCAAATAGAGTTATCCTATTACTCATAATAAGTGAGAAATTCACATGACTGTAATTTTTTTTCAAGCACAGTCACTGAACCATGAAAATGAGGTCAAGGACAATGGGCATATGACAGACGGAAACTTCGTAACATAAGGTATCTGCATACAAGGTATGAAGCATCCAGGTCTTCTACCTTATGAAATATAAAGCTTCATATAAATAGTTTACGCTGTGTGTACCTCTTTGTATTCTTTGTGTACATGAACAGATAAATAATCATACTTGTGTGTACCTCTTTGTATTATTTGTGTATATGAACATGAACAGATAAAGTTATAATTACAGACGTGTGTTCCTCTTTGTATTCTTTGTGTACATGAACAAAGAAATAATTATAAACCTGTGTGTAACTCATGGTGTTCTTTTTGTACATAAAATGAGAAATAATTATAATTAAATAAATGGGAAATGTGACCATTGGACATAGATGATGCCCCCGCTTACATATAACGTTATAAAGGAATATAACTCAAGAATGTTTAAAGTGACACTCTAGAATGTTAAAAGTGACGCCACCAAAATTCAAACTTGATCTGCATATTGTGGTTATAAGCATTGTCTATAAGTTTTAAAACATTTGGTTGAGGCAAACTTAAGAAAACGGAAACGAAAAATTCAGCAATTTTTCCATTTGTAAAGGAGCATAACTCTAGAATGATAAAAGTGACTCTACCAAAATGCAAACTTGATCTGTGCTTTGGGGTAATAAGCATTGTGTATAAGATTCATAACATTTGGTTGAGGCAAACTAAAGTTAGAGAACAGACACCAATTTCGGGACGTACAGATGTACGTACGGACGGACCTAGACAGCTAGAGTAAAACTTAATGCCCCCTCCGCTACGGCGGGGGCATAAAAACCTCTTTTAGTTCTTTATACACATGAACAGAGAAATAATTATAATAACAAACATGTGTCTCCCTCTTTGTGTTCTTTACATACAGTCAGAGATATAACTCTATAGGGTTATTACAGAAAATAACTTGTGTGTGTTATTACAGATACTTTCATGAGTTGTCTACTCTTTATTCTTAAAATTTTCCAAATCTGCAATAACATATGTTTGTTATTTGTAATATAAATCAAAAATATCTTAATTTATAATGGGCTCTAGGGAACTCTTGGGACTTTGCGCAGAAACTAAATGCATAGCCTTGATAATTAATTCTTTAATTATATTAATACATTCTGATTAACCATGGTAAATCAATGAGACAAGGCTTTTAAGGGATAAAATTAGCTGTAATAACATAGCTTAGTTATTAAAGGAATGTAACCTATTATATGAGACAATTGGGAATTACTGGGAAGCTTGCGCAGAACCTCATTACATGCTCTGGTCATTATTTCTTACAATAAATTAAAATACATTGTGATTAAGCATGATGTATGTCTGAGAAAATGCTTTGGAGTAATATAGAGAAGCTGTGATAACACCCTTTAGTTATTACAGGCATATGTTTTCTGTAATAACATATAGATGTACTATGCAAAATTGGCAAACTATGAACTGTTATATCTTTCTATAGTTAAGTATACATAAAGACAATAGTAATATCAATAGAACTTGTATGCATTTTAACTAAACTAGTGATGTATATTGTCCCTTTGAAACATGTAACATACATATGTTATCACAGTTCTTTGATTTTTAAGTCCACAATAACAAATGTATGTTATTTTTCTGTAATAACCCTATAGAGTTATATCCCTGACTGACATACATGATCTACATGACGAGAAATAATTATAGACAGGTGTGTACCTCTTCGTGTTCTTTATATAAATGATGAGAAATAATTATAAACAGGTGTGTACCTCTTTGTGTTCTTTATATAAATGACGAGAAATAATTATAACCATACACATGTGTAAACATCTTTGTGTTCTTTAAGTTCATGAAGAAAAATAATTATAACTATAAACATGTGTGTACCTCTTTGTATTCTTATATACATGAACAGAGAAATAATACAAAATATGTGTGTACCTCTGCGTTCTCTATGTACATTATGTACATGAACAGAGAAATAATTATAAACTTGTGTACCTCTTTGTGTTCTTTTATATGTACATGAACAGAGAAACATTTATAAACGTGTGTACCTCTTTGTGTTCCTTATGTACATGAAAAGAGAAATAATTATAAACATGTGTGTACCTCTTTGTGTTCTTTATGTACATGAACAGAGGTATAAGCATCATCTCCCTCTCTATTGCCCCAGTGTACAGCTCTGACTAGGTGTGGCATCTCCGCAGGGGAACTCTCTCTTGATGCTGTTGGCTTCTTAGCTGTTTTACCCTGAGGTGCAGGTGTAAGCTTTGGTGGTCCCTCCGCCTCACGCTTTTTCTGTAAATACAAAAATATTGTTATATAATTATGTATAAGTATATAAAGTAATTATAGTATAATGATGCATGTCTTTCAATATAAATAAACAAATGGAGAATTTGGAACTGATGCATAGTTTGGATAGTACATGAATATGGTGAGTATGATATATCATATATGTATATATTGGTAATAAGAAAATATATAGATTCCTGTGAAGTAACTGATCAGTCTATGGAAGCATAAATACATGTAAAAGTGAAAATTCATACAATAACTAAGTTCAGAATTTGAATGTAAAAAAATATTCAACAAGCGTTCAAACACATTAATTCAGTGTTCTCCCCAGAAATTTTGGATAGCATCACATTTGGCGTAAAAAAATAAACATTTTTTTTCAATGACATTTGACGCGTCGCGGCAATGATCTATTTCCTTTATGTTATATATGTTTATATTGTTCAATTCATAACTGAGAATACAATTAAACTATAACCATGATAACAGTTGTTTCAGTTTATGTTTTCTATATTCATTTATAGTTACAGAATTATTTTTTTCCTCTTGGACCAAATAAAGATATATGTGTGGTTCCAGTTACCCTACCAACTCAACTAAATGAATGAATGAATGAATGGTTTATTATAGTGCAACCTGTATATACACGATACTAAATATCTAGCAAAAAAAAAGAACTGGTTTTTATATAAAAAGGGAAGAGAATATATCATATAGCAATAAAATTTCAATTAAAAAACTTTTTTCTTTATCATGTCTATGAAATTCATTGTTTAATGGTACTCAAAGAATTAGTCCCAGTTGTTTTTTTATATCAAAATGATATATATTTTTAACAAAGTTAAGCTACTTTAGCATGTTAAGTCAGTATATTAAAACAATGCTTTTTCAAAGAGAATACATTTAGCAAAGATATCTAATAGATAGTCTGTTAATGCGTGTGGAATGCGTAGTTTTCTCTTTTGTGATCATTTTTTCTGTCTACTGTGCCATGTGTGCATCTGTAGTTATTATCGTAAAAATGCGGAATTTTGTCATATCTGGTCCGGTTCCGATCCGCAGTTTACACAAATATGATGGCGGCGGAAGAAAAATTTACGAAAATAAACAATGTTTGACAAGAGATTGGGAATGCATATGACGCTTTAAATGCATTAAATGGATGAAACATTAACTAAAGCCAATTATGATCTCTTTCTAAAGAAATTTTAAACTTATTTAACTCAAATTCAAAATGTTTAATATACGCCATGTACGCTCTCGATTAACTAGATACCGGAAATGAAAGAAAGTATTTTTTTTAAAAGTTGTAAAAATATACGACCTAACCTCTTTTCTTAAAGAGAGAAATCGTTTGTATCTTTGAATTTGGATTAATGCAAACGTAGATTTCGAATTGTTTTTCGATTTTCTGATTAAATTTTCTCCATGTTGAAATTTGCGATTGGACCACGTGGTATTAGTCGTGTCACAAGTGTCAGCTTGGGGTATTCGTATCCATTCAGTTATCACCCAAAGGGCAATTTACACCTATTTAATCACTCTAAATTGCCTCTATTGTCGGACTTGAAGGGATTACAATTAAAGGTGATATAATTTTTATGATCACAAGCGGTAATTAGATGAAAGTTCAAAATTTAGGACATGGTTTTGCGATATAGAGACAAGAAAAATAGCATCCTCAAAATAATTATAGCGTCGCGGAAATTATTATAGCATCACGGGGGAAAATATAGCGTCTCGGTGCCGCGACGCTAAAACGGCCTGGGGAGAACACTGATTAATTCATGAATGCACATAGCACACAAATGAATTTTCAGTTTTAAGCCATGAGTAGCATATTTTTAATATATAAATTCATGTATTAAAAGATTACTTACAACTATGACTTATAAATGTTAATATGCAAATAAAATAAGAAAATATCTTTTTCTATGCATTTTGACTTTCTTGTGCATCTTTTTCTATGCATTTTGACTTTTTTGTGCATATTTGTCGACAAATTGACTTAAAGGGGCGTAAGCTGAGAGATATAAAAAAAAAAAATATGATTTTTTTTGTTCAATCAATAATGAAAGTGAAATAGTGAAATAATAATTCGCTTTTAACAGCCAGTTTGGTGCAGTTTTGTCAAAATAAGCAAAGAAACATCGCTTATGAATTATTCACTTGCAAGTGAATAATACAACCTCATTGAATTGGTATTCATGTGAACCTTTATTGATCCCTATAGCTATAGATGGGTTACGCATACATAATATACATCTTACTATCAATAAAAAAAGTTTTAGATCTTTGGTATTTCTAATTGCCTTGAGCATGTTGAGAGAAATGTTTAAATTTTTTGAAGAATGAAAAGGAACTAGATGTTTTTATTTAGATTAACATTTTTCTATTCTTGTATACTTTATCTTGTCCTACAGAATGAACTGCACTGATAACAGCCTGTAATTCATACTTATGATTATTTGCATTCACTCTCAATTGTTTTGGAGACTTATTTTTTACCAAAAATTGTAACAGTATAGACTGTGAAAATTCATCAGCAATTTTTAATTTTTTAATATGATCACTATGTGTAATCTATAACCTGTTGAAGTATCTTGTAATATTTTCTCAAGATTCATAACAGCAGTAGTATATATATATACAGTTATGTTGTCATGTTCAAAATTCTGATGTATTTAACTTAATTTTTCTGATATTTTCTGACAGAATTTTTAGATAACTAGAAGAAGAAAAAAACCAAATGTCATTGTACAAATTCTAAAACACATATTTCCATAGAACAGCAAATAAAACATAACAGAAATGCATCCTTATAAGCAATCATTAGTGATACTCCATAGTCCTCATTAGTAAAATGCTGTACACTTGAAATCAATGGTACATATATAACTTGTAAAAACGTAAGTCTAAAATGGACAGAAAAAAGTTCAAACAATGCAGCTTTACACTAATATCAATGAGCAAGGCCATCACAAAAGTCTACTATTTTCAAGAAATAAAGAATAAAAGCTTATGCAAAAATTAATGTTCTTGTGTTAGCAGAAGTTTTTTTACTATAAAATAGAAATAATCTAAAGACCACAACACTAAATTTTCTAATTGCTTTTCTTACTGGAAATACATTAACAGGTAAAATAAAATAATTGTTATATGTTACATTCATGCATGGTATAAACATTTAAAATCATCATGCAGCTTTACAAAAAGCTTTTATTTGTTGGCTCATAAAAAGTGAAACTAGGAGCAATAAAGTCCAAACTTTGGTCTTTCAACTATAATATTGAGTTGAAGGGGAAAAAAATCAAGTAACTCTTGATGGAAAAAGGGCAAGAATTAAATGGTAAGAAAAGCCCTTGCTTTTAAAAATCACAAAAAAATCATTAAATCACTTTTACTGATAACTTTTTTTAACAGAATTCATGAGTTATTTTTATTATAAAACTACTTTTCATTATACCTTCATATTAAAACAATTATACAATGGTGTCCAGAATTACTAGTTTAGGAAGATGAACTCCATTTATCATGTACATGTAATTTCATGCACTTAACAAGTTGTGGCTGTGTAGATAACCCTTTGTTCAAGTAATGAAAAACTTAAATAAAAAATGAAACAATGCAGCTTTACATTTATCACTCGCTCCTCTAAATTTCACAATATTTTATTTTGCTATTCTGAACACCACTGATTATATTAACACTAAAAAGCCAAGCAAAGCAGTATGCACATTTTTTTGTGTTGTTACCCTCTCCTCTTCATCTATATCTGCTTGCCATGTGGACCTCACATTATACACAGCCTTTGATGGGGACTGAAATATACAGTTAAATATCATGTTATACACAGCCTTCGACGGGGACTGAAATATACAGTAAAATTTCATGTTATAGACAGCTTTCAACAGGAACTGAAATAATCAGTAAAATATCATGTTTTACACAGCCTTGGAAGGTGACTGCAATATATAGGAAAATCTCATGTAATACACAGCTTTAGACTGGGATTGAAATATAGATTAAATCTCATATTATACACAGTCATGACAGTGTTCAACAAGGACTGGAAAAATCTCATGTTGTAGCAAGCCTTTAATTAGCACGGAATTATATGGCCATTTTGCCAATACTGCAAAGAAAAAGAAAATGCTCCGCTGGGCGCAGCTTGATAGGACCGCAGAGGTCGAACCCTGAACAGTTGGGACAAGTATGGACACAACATTCAAGCTTGATACAGCACTGAATTTGGATTGTGATTAAATATTTGACACAGCATAGGTTTCTGACACAGAATGAATGTGGTCTAAGAACTTAAAATTTTTTAATCTAACTATTCAAACCATATCATTATTATTTGCTTTTATATATAAATCAGAAATAACCAATTTAAAATGGAAAATTTAAAAGAAAAAAAAATCCCCCCCCCCCAAATTTTTTGAACCCCCTTATGATTCATTACTCCCACACAAGTTATTGTCATGAAACTAGAAAAATGCTTATTTTTTGCCCCTTTTTTGGCCCCTAATTCCTAAAATTTTGAGTCAATTACCCCATAAATCAATCCCAGCATTTCCTTTGTGATATGGATCCTTGTGGTACAATGTCAGAGAGATCCGTGATACACTTACACACAAGTTATGACTGGAAGTTACAAAAATGCTTATTTTGGCCCATAATTCCTTAACTGTTGGTACCATAACCTCCAAAATCAATCCCAACCTTCCTTTTGTGGTATTGAACCTTATGGTAGATCCACTAAAGTTAAAGTGCGAAAACCAATGTGTCTTCGGACGACGATGACGCCGGACGACAACGTCATACCAATATACGTGTGGTCGTATAAAAACTAGTCCTCTATATTTAGATTAAATATCTTATTTATTCCAATGAATCCTATTAAAAGCCAAAATTTTATATCCAATATTACTTTATCATAATAAGACACTTTCTACAGGTTAGTTTTACTGTGAGTGTGTGTGTATGTGCATGTATGTATTTCATTTTAAGTCTCAACACTAGAAAAATTCAAAATGCCATCTTACTTTGTAACTTTTAGATAGAAAACAAAAAAAAATATGCAGTAATATAAAAGATGAACAAAGGCTGATGCAACCAAATATTTCACCACATTTATGAATATATAAATTTTGTCAGCAAACTAAAATTGTTGATAATTTCACTTAAACAAAGATGTCTTAATAATTTAATTTCAGCCTTACATGTATGAATCACTGTTATAATGAAAATATCCAGTATGCCTTACATGTATGAATCACTGTTATAATGAAAATATCCAGTATATGCCTAAACCTTGTTTAGAGACCAATATTTCTTATATATTCCTTTATACATTTACAGGGATTGAAATATTGTCAGTAATACCTTCTGAAGTGTTGGCTTTTTCTGAAGTTCTGCCACTCTGGTGTTCTTGGATCGGAATATTTTCTTCACCTTGACTGGTTCCTTGGATTTAGCAGAGTCTTGTGAACTATCTAAAGATCCCTGACTACTGGACATGATATCTTGTGAACTGCTCAGGTCTTCCATTGGACTGTCACAAGTTTCTTGAGAATCCTGAGAACTTTGTATTGGAGTAGGTTCCTGCGAGGTTTCCATACTTTCAGCTTGTTGCCCTACAATATCTGGCATTTCAGACTCTTCACCATCATCAAAACCAAATGAATTCTCAGCAGGATTTTGCTGAATGTTTTCAATTTCTGCTATAACTTCGTTCTGTAACGGTGGGGGTGGTGTCTCTTCTTTAACTGGTGAATCTTCCCGCTTGATTTCTTCTCCAGGAAGGTTTCTATTTTTACTTTTAAATATTCTATTGACTCTAACCGCTGATCCCCCTGAAGATGACTTTGTCTTCCTGGTGAAGGACCTTGGTGGAACAGGGGCGGCTGTAGTAAAGTTATCTGAATTTTCTTCTGTCAAGTCAAACGCTGAGTTAGTATTTTTATTCAGGGTCTGTATTTCTTGTTTTGCCAATATTGCTGCCTCAGCCAAGTCTGATACCTGATTGAAGCTGGACACAGGATCTTCCTGGCTGGCTTTTGGGCCTCTAGGCTTTTCTTTGAGATAACTTTTCAGTCCTGGAACAGGGGGAACCTTTGGAGAACAAACCACAATGACTGTGGAACCCTTGCCGTGTTTGATCTCTGATTTTTGTAGAACTTTACTGTTATTGAGTCTCCCTACAGGGTCATCACTATGTGGTGTGTACTTGAACTGACTATATACAGCAGGATCCATGTAGTGACTTCTGAAATTTAGCACTGTTAACCCTTCTTCACTATCTTCTTCTGAATGTAAAACATGTGTTTTACTAGTGATCATTCTTGGAACATTACCTTCTTTACGCCTAGTGTACGTACGTGTAGTTTTCTTTTTACTATTTTGGTCTATAAATGGATCCTCTATTTCTCTCTCTGGAGAATCAGAAAACACATCCCTTCTCTGTGGCCGTTCTTGATTCTTTCTCTCTTCTTGGGTACCCGTCACAGACTGAACACCTGATTCTTGGTCATCACTGCCTCCTTTTTTCCTACGTGAATATGTACGTACAGGTCGTCTAGAAAAATTAGACAGAGGAATTTCATCTTCCTCCTCTTCTGTTCTTTCCTCTACATTCTCAGAACTATCTACACTTTGTTCTTGGCCTTTATGTGATACCTTTAAATTAGGGATGGCAGGACGTCCTAATCCACTCCCTGAGGTTGAAGATGGAGGGGGTGGTAAAGTAGGGGCTTGAACAACTTCTTTTTTCACAGTCTCACCATCTTCAAAATCAAAAGAGAAAGGATCTGCAGACTCTGTCTCTATTTTGACCTTTTTACATGTGACTTCAAATGGATCATCTTCTCTTAAACGACTGAATGAAGTTTTGCCCCACTTGGTCTGTGATGTTGACCTGTTTGCTGCAGAATTTGGTTTCAGAGCATCGTCAAATGCTTTACTCTGAGCAGCTTCTCTGTTGGCCTTCCCATATGTTTTAACAGCAGATTTGGTAGCCATGTTGTTCATCTAAAATATAAGTATAACTAAGCATGTATATTGTATTTCAAAGTTCATTTATAAGCTTTAAGCACTTGAAAAACGAATCATTAAAAATCAAATTCAAGTTAGACCTGCAATTTTTGTATTTTTAGTTTGCCGGTAAAATATATACACAGAAGTTTCCTTTTTTTTGCAAGACAGATAGTGTTTTATATTTTCCATTATAATCCCTATGTACATGTACATGTATGTATAAAGTAAAATGAATGTATGTTTGTAATTAGGCCACGGAAAAATGATTGTTGGTTTCCCCAAACATGACCAGGTCAAATTTTTACTGCAGTCATTTAATATTTTTCTGCCCTGTTTTGTTACGATTTATCATTGTTGTACTCAAGTTTATCCCATGTACATGAATGTTATCTAGTCATTTGCTTTTTATTACTTAAAACAATCATTGACAATCAAAGTTATAAACAAATATTGTATTTTTGCTGTGTACTGACATTTCCTGTACTGAAAAATATTAATAGCATGAGGTGTGATTGAGCTATAGATTTGTTATATAAAGTTCAGGTTTCTTAATCTTTTTAAAAATACCAGACTTTTCAACTGAGTACAGACAAATTTGTAGATCTCATCTTTTACACAGATGGGAAAGGCAACAGTCAATTATAATTCTATGTACATTATTTTTAAATATTCATGACACTGCTACATGTACATGTATGTATTATGATTTTCTTGTAAAATAATACATTTCTCAGAAAGAAAAAAAAAATTATAAATGAGCATTAGCTGCCAAATTCATGTCCACAGAATTGCTTGGATATTTCATCATTGTTCAAAGTTGATTTATAAAGAATTTGAGAATTATAAAAGTAACAGAGGAAACAATAAACAATGCATGAAAGGTATCAACATGTTGGGGTTAGGTGCATCTATTGAACTGTATTAAAATTGACAGCCATATACATGTATCAGGTTGGGGAAGATCCTCATAAATGGGTACTATCCCCATTTAAGGGTACAAATTGTATCATACTCAAAATAGGGTATCAATTTACAGTGATAACAAATAAAAAAATGTTTCATAATAGTGGCTTTGAAGGCGCAAATGTTCATATAAATTGGCATAGTTCGAATGAGAACTGAATATAAAGATGCCTCCAAAAATACTAAATTTATAAGGCTATCAACTTTAAGGTTCATCATAACAAATGGACAAATATGGCCGTATTTTCACATCAAAAACTACTCTGTGTACAGACTTACCTGTGCAGTTTGGAAAGTTTTAAGGTCTGGCATCCACTAGATATATAAAAGTTAAATGCATTTTGTGTTTCAGAAAGATAAAATCGTTTTTGGATTTTGATGGGCATTTTTTTTCCTTCCTGCAGAAGGTGTAAAAATAAACAAACACCTGAATTGCATTTGATACTGTCCACTCAGTTACTACCTTTAACTCACCTATAGATGTGTAGATATCTATTGTCCATGCCAATCAAGTACAATCAATACAATACAAACCAGTTGTTACCTGAGAAGGAGCATCTCAAAGTTGAATCCCAACTTAGTTTATTTTTACACCTTCTGCAGGAATGAAAAAAAATGCCCATTAAAATCCAAAAAAGATTTTACCTTTCTGATATACAAAATACATTTAACTTTTATATATCTAGTGGATGCCAGGCCTTAAAACTTTCCAAACTGCTCAGGTAAGTCTGTACACAGAGTAGTTTTTGAGGTGAAAATACGGCCATATTTGTCCATTTGTTATGATGAACCTTAAACCAGATGATATTTCAGTCATGGTGACTTTGGGAAATATATTGTCATTTACCTGAATGTTTGTGTCATCGACAGCAAAAATATCTTAAAATCCAAAGATTATATTTTTAACAGTTTTGTGGTTTAATAACAAAAAACGGTCATATCCATTTATGACGATCTTCCCCAACCTGTATATTAACAGCTGTGGTCCACTTTCATCTTGACTGAATAGAAGATATAGTTAAAGAATTGTATTCAATGTTCAAGTATGCACAAACAAAATCATGATGAATGCCAGGTCAACTGGATTCGAAAAGTTTTAGCAATACAAAAATGATCTTATTTGATCACGATGAAGCAAGAGTGGAACTATATAGTCGTCAATTATATGTTTTCAAAGAATGTACTGTAAAATCGCCTAAAATAACTCTATAAGTAGCAATAAATGAAAGGGCATTTCTCTCAGAACAGCTGAAATCAGATCTATCATTTTGATGAGGTAAGATAACTCGTACAAGAGAGAGATCGCGTTCCTTCGACCAATTGAGAACGTGTCGCACCACTTTACTTGTGTAAAATGTTGTGTGAATGCAAAATATTGTGATGAAAAACTCCCATTATCAATTCACCTAATAAAAACAAATCTGCATGATATACAAACACAATCCGCAGCTATCGCCTGTACAGCGCCATTTTGAAAATTCTAACAATAACAGTTCTACGCAGGCGCACTCTCATCGCACTTGTCTTTTAGGACAGATTTTACAGGCATTGTTTCGTAAATCAAAGGGGAAATAACTTTAAAAATAGTTCAACTATTCTGCAAGTGTTGTTTCCCTTTGACCACAATTTTTGTTCAACCATCATTCATTAGTATCCTGTTGTACGGCCCAAAGTTTTTGGTAAATCCTGCTATCCTTTTAATGTAATTTGAAAATCTACCTCAGGGAATTATTTCATCAACATGTATATATACATCATACGTTGAACTGCCAATCATAATCAATACACAACGCTTCCGATGGGAGCAAGAAATAGATAGAAACAGATTTTATAATATAAAACCAAGAATATATAAAGCAAGTCATGATATAAGTATGATAGGAAATAATAAAGAAAAAGGGTACCCATTTGTTTTTCGTTCATCTCGCCTGAACCAATGCGGCTTCCGTGGCAATACCAGGTAATTAATCCCCACCGGCACAGCCCCATTTCATCATTTGAATTCTTGGCACTCAAATGGGGACTGAGGAAACTAGAAAGAGAGTGTTAATGAAAGCTCCCACTTAAAGGATACCAAGCTACTGTTTCTGATAAAGAGTTCCAAGAGTTCACTGTTTTTGGAAAAAAAGATGTACTTGAAGCGATTGATCTGGGTTGAGTATTGCCGGAACTTCTTTGTATGTGCTGATCTTGTTCTTGCTGACATTGGCGTGAGGAAATTGTCGCATGGTATGTCCACAAGATCATTAACGAAATTAACCACTTTGTAAAAAAAGGTAAGTTGTAGTTTCTTCCTCTTGTCTTTCAATGATTCCCAGTCAAGTTCTTCCAACATGCTACCCACACTACTGGTGTTTCTATAGCGGTTGGTGGAATAACGGGCAGCACGACACCGGACCATCTCAAACTTTTTCACCTGCTCTTTTTGATACTGAGTGTTCCATACTGCTGCACAGTAATCTAAGTTGGATATGACCTTTGCAAAAAAAAAATAAAATCAACACGTTAAAAATCTCATGCGTCTGAAGCGCTTTTCCATCAGGAACGCTCAAAACCGAATATTTGAAACTCAAGGATGTATAAGAACCGAAACAGTTGAAGAGCTATATAACCAAAAACATAGGCATTTGTCTTTGTTTCACTATTAGATGTCATTAGATGTTCTTAGGTTGCGTTTTAGAAATCCTACCATGTTTGCCTTTTTAGGTTACTCTATCGATGTGTTGTTTCCTGGACAGGTCAGATTCGATGTCAACTCCAACCTTTTTTGGTTACTCTGTTGATGTGTTGTTTCCAGGACAGGTCAGATTCGATGTCAACTCCAACCTTTTTTGGTTACTCTGTCGATGTTTTGTTTCCATGACAGGTCAGATTCGATGTCAACTCCAAGGTATTTGGTATTTTTTATCTTTCCAGCACTTGTCCCTTAAGCTTTTATGAGTGTTTTATTGGTGAGCCTGATCTGGTGATAGTTTATACACTGCACATCTGTGGGTAAAAGATCTGGTGATAGTTTATACACTGCACATCTGTGGGTAAAAGATCTGGTGATAGTTTATACACTGCACATCTGTGGGTAAAAGATCTAGTGATAGTTTATACACTGCACATCTGTGGGTAAAAGATCTGGTGATAGTTTATACACTGCACATCTGTGGGTGAAAGTCCATGCCCTAAGTTTTATCCCTTTCTTCAAGTTTGTAAAGATCTTCTTGAAGTACATAAGTATCAGCAAGTGATGTTATTGTTCTGTATACTATGCAATCGCCTGTAAATAGTCGTGTGTAAGATTTTAGTTGCCAGGTAAATCATTGATAAATAGTAATTACAGTATTGTAATGCGCTGCGTATAACACATTCTTCATCTTTAATGCTACTGCTGCTTTTATACTGCTTCTTTTTTGTTTGCTCTAACGACTGAAGACTCTTGAAATACTCCATAAATTATGGACCTCACCAGATGTTTGCTCTAACGACCGAGGACTCGTGAAATACTCCATAAATTATGGACTCACCAGACGTTTGCTCTAACGACCGAGGACTCTTGACATACTCCATAATTTATGGACCTCGCCAGATGTTTGCTCTAACGACCGAGGACTCTTGAAATACCCCATAATTTATGGACCTCATCAGATGTTTGCTCTAACGACTGAAGACTCTTGAAATACTCCATAAATTATGGACCTCACCAGATGTTTGCTCTAACGACCGAGGAGTCTTGAAATACTCCATAAATTATGGACTCACCAGACGTTTGCTCTAACGACTGATGACTCTTGAAATACTCCACAATTTATGGATCTCACCAGATGTTTGCTCTAACGACCGAGGACTCTTGACATACCCCATAATTTATGGACCTCGCCAGATGTTTGCTCTAACGACCGAGGACTCTTGAAATACCCCATAATTTATGGACCTCATCAGATGTTTGCTCTAACGACTGAAGACTCTTGAAATACTCCATAAATTATGGACCTCACCAGATGTTTGCTCTAACGACCGAGGACTCGTGAAATACTCGATAAATTATGGACTCACCAGACGTTTGCTCTATAACGACTGATGACTCTTGAAATACTCCACAATTTATGGATCTCACCAGATGTTTGCTCTAACGACCGAGGACTCTTGAAATACCCCATAATTTATGGACCTCATCAGACGTTTGCTCTAACGACTGATGACTCTTGAAATACTCCATAATTTATGGACCTCGCCAGATGTTTGCTCTAACGACCGAGGACTTTTGAAATACCCCATAATTTATGGACCTCATCAGATGTTTGCTCTAAAGACCGAGGACTCTTGAAATACTCCACAATTTATGTACCTCAGTAGATGTTTGCTCTAACAACCGAGGACTCATGAAATACTAGTACTCGGCAATTTATGGACCTCAGCAGGACTAAATACAGTGTTAAAGGTTGACCGCATCCACAAGAGCTATAGAAGAGCTAAACGTTCTGCTATCTTACAAAAATGGATCTTATTCTATGTAAGCAGGGAAAACCTTAACTGTTAATTGTATCACGATGGTGAAGAAGAATCTGGATATTGAATGGGACCATAAGGAGCATGATACAATCCTTGATCTGACACTATTTTAGACAAAAACAAAAAGGTACAAAGCACAACCAGTTTGAACATACAACATATGAGCTGCGTCGGATAGAAATCGCAGGTATACATGTACAAAATGTACATGTTTAAGACTTTGATTGATTTTAGAACATTCAAACACGAAATAAAAGAGGCATTTTGGTCTGTTTTGCAGGGTTCTTATAACAAATCAATTTTCAAATAGTTACATACTTTCCATAGAGATTTTTTTCAACCCGAAATAGGTTAACAGATGTATTGATATTCATTTCCATAAGGTCGATTTTTATCCGACGCAGCTCATATTTTTATCTATTGTTATTACAATGTATATGTATCTAGCGTACCACCATGATTTCCTCATGCCCAGTCACCACTGTGTATCATCGCCACAGGAAATTGGGTACTAACGAAGCGGAGAGAAATGGAAAAAAAAAGTAAACAAGGTAAGAATTCATTCAATTTAAAGCATTTCTACTGATTTGACGAGGGTACCGCTTAAGAAATGATTTTCTGATATATAGTTCTTTAAATTATTTGGCCGATAAGTACAAAATTAAGGCAAGATTTTGTGTTATACTCAAGAACTTGCCACTTAGTACCTGAAAATTTCGAGGTCGATCGTCCTCTGTCGCCCCATTGGCAAGATACCGGTATTCAACTGTTTTTCATTATTTTTCCAGACACTTTTTTAAATTATTATAGTGTGGCATCATATTTGATGAAATTTGTTGTCAAAATGAACGTTTTTCAAGAATATAGACCATAAAAAATAAAGTCTAGGGTACGGCAACTTGCTCATGTTGACAAATTTACTGTATGGCAACTTGTTCTCAACTGTATGGCAACTTGCTAATTTCAAAATATTTATTTGCCGTCTTTAAAGAAAATAAAGTATTAGGTTCAAATATCTAATTATGCATTTTATAAAAATACAATTCGCTCGACACCATTTAAGATGTATACACAATATAAGGCTTGAACACAGTCCTATTACATCTTTTACATACCTGATGTATACAATATGAATACGGCATATACAAAAGCTGGCAAATGTTGTAACTTTGGGAAACTGAGGCATGTCACTGTTTTACTGACCTGTTGTTCTGCCCTGACGTAGCGTTAAATGTTACCGATGTCCGTCCGACCCGTCTCTCCCGTCTGTCCAGAAAGTCCCAATAACTGGTTTCCGTTCTCTAACTTTAGTATGTCTTAACAAAATGTTTTAAAACTTACACGAAATGCTTATCACCACAAAACACAGATCAAGTTATAAATTGGATAGCGTCACTGTTACCGTTCTTGAGTTATGCCCTTTTATAAATGAAAAAAAGCTAAAGCTGTCGTTTCTGTTCTCAAACTTTAGATTGCCTCAATCAAAGGTTTTAACCATACAACATTAGTCAGCATTTGCATATAAGTGATGAACATTTCGAGGATGGGTTGTGGGTGGAGAGAAGGAAGGAGGTAATGGCAGGAGAATTTTTCCGCATTGAATATTTAGAACCATTAAGTGAATGAATTCTCTTTCAACTTTCAGATAAAATGAAATATAAATGAATTATCATTCTCTGCAAAAAAAAATGTTGTATTGCTACACCACGGCACCAAGTTAAGGGAGGTTTGAGTGCTCACAAACATGTTTAAGCCCGCCTCAATATATATGTGTCTGTCCCTGGTCAGGAACATGTAATATAGCGGCTGTCGTAAGTTGCTGCCTGACATATTTGTTTATGATTTTGTCATAAATCAGGCAGTTTTGATACGTTATGGGTTTTGTTCATTGTGAAGTGTATAGTAACCAATAGTTGGTCAAATCTATTTCATTTGGACTTTGTTTGAAAGTCCTCTCAGTGAAAACCATTCCACGTCTCCTTTTTCAATTAATGTTATTGTCTTATTTG